CAGAACGGTGCAGTGGAATCCTCCTCCTCCTCCTCCTCCTCCTCCTCCTCCTCCTCCTCCTCCTCCTCCCTTCTCCTCGTCCTCCTCCTCCTCCTCCTCCTCCTCCTCCTCCTTCTCCGCCCTCCGCCCTCCTCCTCCTGCTCCTCCTCCTCCTCCTCCTCCTTCTGCGCCCTCCGCCAGTGGAATCACGGGCGGCGCAGCTCGTGCCGTTCTTCCCTCCTTGCTCCAGGACGTGTCGGGTGGCCTCTAGATCCGAGCCTCGGTGGCCACGCCTCGCTCAACAAATTCACGGGCGGCGCAATTTGTGCCGTTCTTCCCGCCTCGCTCTAGGTCGTCCCAGACATCCGGCCGCTCCAACTTGTGGGGGGCGTGGGCCCCGGAGGTCCGGACCACTTCCTCGGGACCGGTTTTTTGTCCTGAGTCGTTCTTTGACGCTCTCGAGGCCAGGCGAGGGCCCGCAGAGGCCGAAAACTGTTCAAATCCGCCTGCTCCAATTTGTTTTGCAAGAGATGCATGCGTACATACCTTCAGCTGCTCATGCAAAGGCTGTGCAATCGCGCGCTGCAGTGGCAACGATGCTCGGCTCGGGTGCAGGTTTCTTGTAATTTTCGGTCCCCGGGCCCCGGGACCGTCAACAAAAACCGGCCCCGGATAATGGGTCGAGACCACCGGGGGCCGTCGTGGTGAAGAAATCGGGGTCCCAATACACGGTGCGGTGACAGACCGTGCGGTGACCTCGGAGTCCCCAAAGACCTCGCCGCACGGTCCGTCACCGCGCGGCCCGCCAAAACCCGAACTGTCGCCCCGAACCCCTGCTGATTCACTGGTCACCCCCGGGAAGAGGTCACTGGAAGCAGGGCGGGGCGCCGAGGAGGTGGGCCCAAGACGAAGGGGGCCAGCGCATCATGGCCCCAGGCATGCAAGCGGACGAGGGGGGGGGGAGTCAGGGGACGTGCCGAAAGAAGGACAGGGGGCCAGGAAGCCTAGGAGGTTCCGAGCTCTGGCCATGGTATCCACCACCACCCCTCGTCCTCACCCCCCTTTTCGACGCTCACGACCTGGCGTCCTGGGGGGTTCATGCGCCACGGGCCTGGGCATGTACTGGGAGACGAACGAAGAAGAAGCCATGGAGTCTGGAAAATCCCATGACTCCGGCCATGGTGTCCACCACCACCCCGGTAGTCCTCGCCCCCTCCCCTCCCTCGACGTTCACGAGAAAGGGTCCTGGACGTATTGTGCCGTTTTCGGGCCCGCGGGAGCTCTCCACAGGCGCGCGGGCCGATCGAGCGGCCCAGGGGCACTGGACATGGAATTGCGCTCGGCAAGGGGCAGGTCTGAGGAGCGGTCGGAGCCCCTGCTGAGCCCCCGAGACGATGGGGCGGCCGTCGTCAAGGATCTGCCCGTGATGTCTTGCATACTGCATCTCGCTGGTATGAAGTCGTACGAGAACGCGATGAAACAGCATTCGTCGAGTATTGCATTGCATTCCCGCGGGAGGACCGCCACCTCGTCCTCTCTCCTCACCCTCTCGGAGGCACACCGCTTGCTGTCCCATGCGCACGTGCACGCTTAGCCCTGCGGGCTGTAGCCTCACCCGTTTACGGGCCGACCCTCGTAGTTTGACCCGGCCCATGTCAGTCCTGAGCCCGAAGCGGTCCTTCTTTCAGCACCTCGGCTGGCCGCGAATTGGAAGCGACCAAGGGGTGTCTGAGCTGGATGGGCCCCGAGAGAATCCCACATATTGTCGACCCGGACCCGCTGTCCGCGGCCCCGAGGCCCGAGCACGGCCCTCAGAGACCAAACAAGAACCACCAACTTCCTCGGACCCAGAGCCTCGAGCCTCGCCCCCCCCCCCTCCCCCCCGCCGTCCTGCTGGCCAGAACCGGTGCCGGGCCACCGCAGGCCCCCCCGGCCGACCCCCAGCCGCGAGGCCTTGGCGGCCCCGCCTCTCCCCGGAGCTCCGGCGGGCGGCCCTCAGACGAAGATCTGCACCGCCCGTTGGATCTGCCGCCGGCAGACGGCCGGCGGCACGCCGAGGGGGTGAGCGAGCGAGGGCCGGCCGTCTCAGAAGGCTGCGGGGCCCGGGTTCTCTCGGACGCCCGCCGAGGGAGGGCGCACGTGTGGCTCTGGGCTTCTCTGACTATGCCTACCAGACAACCCCAACCCAACCCGCTGACCCCAATTTCGGGTTGGGGGGGGCACGGATTCCATATGTGTTTTTCACTGTTCCCCGACGACCCGCCCTGCCAATCGGAAGTGGAGGGCAAATTGAGGCCTGCGGGTTGGGCTGGGTTGGGGTGGTTCGGTGGGCGGTGATTCTCCGAAAGCCTCCGAGAAGGCCCGCCCCCGCTGCTTGCCCAGAGCTCCCCACGCCATGTCTTGTCACCACGGGGGTCGCTGGAGCTCTGGACCACTTCCCCCGGACCGGCTTTCCGTCCCTGACCGCTGTTCTCGCCCGACAAAGGCTCCCGCACGCCGAGAGCTATGGAACAGCAGCGCTTCGTCATTTCAAAACGCGGGCGGTCTGGGCCCTCTGCCGCCACCCCTGGGCGCGCCGCCGGGCTGGGGCACTTGTCGCCCCGCGCCGACATGAAGGTGGCGCAGTCCGCGCAGGCGCAGAGGTGCCCGCATGGCAAGAACGCGCGCGACCGCTCGCGGTCCAGGCAGATCACGCACTCGCCCAGCTCCGTCTCGACCGGGCTCGGCCTCTTCATTGAGCCAGGGGCCGACCGCCCTGGCACTTAGAAGTTATCCTGGCGAAGGACCCAGCCGTGCGCAGTTGTGAATACCGCAATTACGAATCCCATTTTTTCTCGCGCTCCCGATGGGACCACGAACCGCGCGAGGTGCGTGCCGAAATGCGTGCCAGGGCACACAGCGCGAGCGAAGACGACAGGTCTGCGTGCGAGAGACTGGGCGCGAGTGAATCTGATTGTGAATGAGTCTGCGCGCGAATCAGTCCACGCGCATAAACGTCGACGCCCATGTCGGCGCGTTCCCCCCGAGGATCGCGCCCGTTTCCTTCGTGTTCATGTTGTTTTTGTTTGTTTCTCTCTCTCTCTCTCTCTCTCTCTCTCTCTCTCTCTCTCTCTCTCTCTTTCTCTCTTTGCCCGCGAGCGCCCATGTCCGAGGCTGCGGGCGCGGCGCCGCGCGGAGTCCCCGCGACGCGCGCTGGTCGCCCCGAAGGGGTCCCAGCGACGCGCGTGGGTCGTCCGCTGCGCGGAGCAGAGAGAGCTAGCTGGCTGGCCGATAGCGGGCGAGGCTGCGGCCGCTGGGCAGAGAGACGGCGGGGGCGAGCCAGGCTCCGGGCAGAGCGCAGCGCGGAATTCCCGCGACGCGCGCTGGTCGTCGTCCCGAGAGGGCCCTAGAGGCGCGCGCGGGTTGCCCGCGGCGCGAAGCCAAACTGTCAGACCGTCGAGAGACGGCGAGGCTCGGGCGGACTTTTCAAGTCAAGCCTTGCGGATAAACTCGGTGAAGCCCAGCTCCCTGGCGAGGGCCGTCGCCTCCCTCCTGCGCCGCTTCGTGCGCGTAGCAAACTGCTCCAGCTGCTTCCGTAATTTCTCCGGCGGCCCTGCCAGGAAGAACTCGATGCGCGGCGCCCGCGTGAGCAGGAGATCCTCGTGGCGTGTGGCGCGCGAGGGCAGCGCGTAGAGCTCCAGCCACCAGTCGTCGTCCTCCTCCTTGCCGTTCCCCACCTCGTGGCGGCCGAAGTCCAGGATCACGCCTGGGCGACGTCGGCCGAGGGAACAGCGCGCCGGGCAGCCGACGGCCCAGGGCGAGAGTCCACGAGACCTAGAGAAGGTCTCCAAAACGTGTGAGGGGCAACGAAACGTGTGAGGGGTGTGCCAAAATAGGGCGGCGCCGCCATGCGGGCTGCGCCACTCGGACCTTAGATGGAGCTCCCTATGGGGCCACGAAGCGTGTGATGGGTGTGCCAAAATGGGGCGGCGGCGCCATGCGGGCCGCGCCACTGGGACCCTAGATGGGGCTCCCTGGGGCCACGAAACATGTGGAATGGTGTGCCAAAATGGGGCGGCGGCGCCATGCGGGCTGCGCCACTGGGGCCCTAGATGGAGCTCCCTATGCGGCCACGAAACGTATGAGGGGCGTGCCAAAATGAAACCACGGCGCCGTGCGGGCTGCGCCACTGGGGCCCTAGATGGAGCTCCCTATGGGACCACGAAGCGTGTGATGGGTGTGCCGAAATGGGGCGGCGCCGCCATGCGGGTGGGACCTTAGGTGGGGCTCCCTATGGGTCCACGAAGCGTGTGAGGGGATGTGCCACCATGGGGCGGCGCCGCCATGCGGGCTGCGCCACTGGGACCTTAGGTGGAGCTCCCTATTGGGGCGACGAAACGTGTGGAAGGGTGTGCCAACATGGGGCGGCGGCGCCATGCGGGCTGCGCCACTGGGACCTTAGATGGAGCTCCCTGGGGCCACGAAGCGTGTGAGGGGTGTGCCGAAATGGGGCGGCGGCGCCATGCGGGCTGCGCCACTGGGACCTTAGATGGAGCTCCCTATGGGACCACGAAACGTGTGATGGGTGTGCCGAAATGGGGCGGCGCCGCCATGCGGGTGGGACCTTAGGTGGGGCTCCCTATGGGGCCACGAAGCGCTGTACAGGGTGGGTGAAACGCAGGGAAGAGGGAGGAGGGAGGAGGAGGAAGGAGGAAAAAAGGAGGAGGAAAACGCGGGGACCGTCTCTTCAAAACGAGGACCCAACACCACAGGATGGTTGGGAAAAACAGCGTTTTTAGAACAGAAACATTGCTCTCATCCAAGAGGCTCCCAAGAGGGCCTCTGGGGGCCCTCTTGAAAACCTCTTTGGGCCCTCTTCGGGCTCTCTTGGGGCCGTTTTGGGGCCCTCTTGGGCTGTTTTGTGGCCCTCTGGGGCCGTCTGGGGGCCCTCTTGGACAATTTTCGGGCCAATTTTGGGGCCTCGCGAGCCGTCCAGGGACGATCTTTGGAGTCTCTTGGACCGTTATGGGCCGTTCTTGGCCCGAAAAAACGAAAACCCTAAAAACGATAACAAAAAAAGACAATAGGAGCATTAATATTTGTCGCTTGTGTGGGCCCTCTTGTGCGGCCTCTCATAGGCCTCTTGGGGCGTCTCGGGGCCCTCTCGGGCCGTCTTGGGAGCGTTCGGTAGTCTTGGAGCTTTCCTTGGGGTTTCTTGGGGCCCGCAAGGGTCCGGTAATCTGTTAAAAGGAAGAAAAACAATCTCCCGCGGCAGACGACACCGAAGAAGCAACCGCCAGGCACTGAGAGACGGAGGCAACAACCCGCCAGGGCGCGGCACCCGGGCGAGCCGGGGAGCCGTCTGGCGCGCCACCAGGCGAAACTACCTGGCGACGGACATGTTTGGCGCACCCGAGCTCAATCGGAAAAAAACACCTGGGAGTACCAAAGCAGCCATAAGGCCCCCTTTGGTGTACACCCCAAAAGCCGAGTGAAAAGAGCACACAACGAGTACACCAACAAAAGAAACTCACTGCGTGGAACTCCTCGTGTGTGCATCTCATACTCCTGCCGCTTCTCACCGAAGAACTGTGTCTGTGAGCATCAGGGTGTGAGGGCGAATCGAAGTGGGCGACGGGCGCGACATCGAAGATGGCGACAGCGACGACTTCAGTGATTTCAGTGGGCATATTCCAGGAGAGATGACCGATGAGGGAAGCACAAGTGGAAGAGCGAGGGGGCACAGGACCACCAAAGGGGAAAATACTGAGTGAATCTGAGCATGAATGATCTGAATGTGAGTGAGTCTGAGTGTGAATGAACCTGGGTATGGTTGAGTGTGAGTGCCAGTGAGTGTAGGTATGGGAGAGTCTGAGTACGAGTGGGTCTCAGAATGCGTAAATCAGAAAACGAGTGAGTCTGAGTGAGAGTGAGTCCGTCTGTGGGTCATTCTGGGTGAGAGTGAGTATGAGTATGAGTGTAACGAATACTAGTCTGACTCTAAATGGGTCTGAGCACGAGTGGGTCTGGCCACGAGTGGATCTGAGGGTGGGTGGGTCTGAGTGTGAGTGATTATGAGTTTGAGTAAGTCTGAGTGTGAGTTGCGTCTGCGTATGAGTATGATGAGTATGAAGCCGGTCGTCGTCATCGACATCGTTACCGTCGTCATATCCACCATGCTGATCACCATGATCAGCATGATCATCACCATCAAGACATCCCCGCAATCCGATTCACCTGGGGTGCGTGGAGGCGGTCTAAGTCTGAGAGATTATGAATGTGAGTACGTCCGAATGTGAATGATTCTGAGTATGAGTATGATGATTACGAGTCTGAGTCTGAGTCGGTCTGAGTATGAGTGAGTCTGACTACGAACGATTATGAGGGTGGATGGGTCTAAGTGTGACCTTGAGTGTGCGCAAGTCTGCGTGTGAGTGAGTCTGAAAATGACCATGATGAGTACTAGTCTGAGTGTGAGTGAATCTGAGCACAAGTGAGTTCGAGCATAAGTTAATCTGAAACATCTTCGCCCTTTGGGCCCCTTGGGGTGTTGAAACCAACGCCTCACCCGAGACACTCTCACAATCTACTCTGAACGCAAATGAACATGGCCATCAAAAAACAAGCAAACCGCTTGAGAGATCCTCAAGATCTGGCCCCCTGGGGGTGCGAAAACCAGCGCCTCGCTCGAGACATAGTCAAACTCTGCTCCGAAAGCAGAGGATGTTGCGCTGGCAAACAGGGAAGCCGCTCGAGACATCCCTGGCATTATGGCGCGAACGGAGGAGTGAGATACCCCCTAGCGGCTCCCCCTTGGGGTTGCTTGAACCCGCGCCTCGCTCGAGGCACCCTCAGATTTTGCTCCGCCATCATCATCCTCATCATCAGCATCATCAGTATCAGCAGCATCATCATCATCACAGCCATCATCAGCATCAGCATCATCATCACCATCACCATCATCACAATCATAACATATTATGGCATAATGGCATAAAGTAGCATATCATACCACAACACAGCAGCACGTACCATAACATTTCATATCATGACATACAATAGCATAGCATAATCTAACCTGACGTGACATACCATACAGTACCATACCATAAAATACAATACCATACCATAACATAACAACATCCAGCATGATATCGCATCTGAACGTGGCTCTGTGTGAGGAAGAGGAGGAGGAGGAGGAGGAGGAGGAGGAGGAGGAGGAGGGAGATGAGTGGGCGTTCTCGGTGCGGTCGGAGTAGTAGCAATAATCCCATCCTTCGGGTGTGGATAATCACATAACATAACGTTACGTAGCATAACATATGATCGCATACCATACCATTGCATACCATACCGTAACATACCAATACATACCATAACGTAACACAACATAACATGTCAACTCATACCATACCATAACATGAGAAGGAAGAGGAGGAGGTGTGAGGTGTTCCTGCTCTCGGCGCGGTCGGTAATACCAAGAACCCCATTCTCTGGATATGGGGAACAAGAACCCCATCTTTTGGATATGGGGGCCAAGAACCCCATCCCTTGCAAATTGGGGCAAACAAGACCCGCATCATCTGGATATGGGGAATACAAATCCTCGACCATCCCTCAGACTCTTCTGCCTGGCTGCCCTCTCGCAACGGCGCCAGCGCCGACCCTCAATCACGCATTTTTCATCGTTCGGCCCCCCAGACACATCAGTACCCGCCGCCGTCCCGGGAAAAAAAACTGTCTGGGGCGAAACACATTACTGTACTGATCCAGGCTCCCGATGATCAGCGTCTCACGCTCGCGAACCTACCCCCAAGGATGTCCACCATACTGCGCGCAGTTGCGATTGCGAGCATTTGTTCATGGCCATTTTCCTGTCCCCGAGGAGGGATAGCGAAAGATTTCTCATTCGGCGTTTCGACATTGGGCGAAAGGGGGGGTTTGGCTCCGGACATCTGCGCAATGCGACTGTTTGAAACAGTGTTGGTGGGGATCCAAACAGGGGAATCCGAATCCAATTAGAATCAATTTGGAATCCGTCTGGAATCTTCCCATAACAACTGGCTGCCCCCAGGAGCATGCTTTTTTTACCACGCATCCGGCGCCCTGGAGAGTCTTTCTTCTTGTCCCGAGGGCCGCCCCGAAAACACAATGCACAGTTGCGCGAAACAGCGTTTCGCGTGTCCACCAGGGAGGGGGGAGGCAGGGCCCCCGTGTTACCCACATGCTTGAAACAGGCGCCAAAAACAGTGAAGATCTACTCCATGGGGGGGGGGGGCGAGGGCCCGCGCCGATCGGCAACAAAAATGAATAAGAGAACGATCGCTTACTGGCCGCGTCTAAGTAGCTGTTTCCCCAAGCGCCTCCCAGGCGCCCACACGCCGAGATAGAATCACGACGGGAGGTTTTTGGGCCATTGGCGGCTCCTGGGGGCCCTCTCCAAAACGACTCAGGATGCGAAGCCGGCCCCGGAGGAGAGGCCCGGGCCACCGGGGGGAAACGCGCGACGCAAACGCAGCGACCGGTCGGAGGCCTGGCCTCGTGGCGCCCGAGGCGGCCAAGCATCGAGGCAGACGCCCAGCGTCGGGGCCGGGACCAGCTGCCTGCAGCAGGCCTCGCACGCCCCCTCCCTGAACGGCAGTCGTCGCGCTGCCGTGGTATGCTGGGCAGGTTTTCCACCACCACCACCAGGCGTAGGACGGGGGAGAAGGGAGGATGAGGAGGTCCTCCTCCCCCTCCCTCCTCCTGGTTCCTCCTCCTCCTCCTCCTTCTCCTCCTTCCTCTCCTACCTGGGGTAGTGGTGGTGGAAAATGGGCCCATCGTGGTAACCGCTGAAGGAGGAACGAAGGTGCTGTTCTGGCCACGGCGAGCCTCGGTCACGAATAGGTTCCCCAACCCAGGTCTGAAAAAAGGCCAGAAAACCAGAGCCGCACCTGAGCCCGACGCCCTCGGTCATGCGTCTTGACTGTAATTACCCCTGGCCCCTTTCCTACCCCCTCCCCCTCGTCCTCCCAAGTGGCATGAACGAAGGGAGCCATCAGGAATACGAGTCCTGGGTGCCAGGGCCTCACCCCGATGACCAGCGCTCCATCCCGCTTCCTAATTCGACGGTCACGGGGTCTGGAGATGGCCTCGAGAGCCCGAAGAAGACCTGAACACCTGCTTCCCTCACGACTGAGAAAGCCCCAACACGGACCCCCAAAACGGCCCACGTGCTGAACCACCACGTAACGTCTGGACCTGACGCGCTCTGAGCACGGTTCGTGTTGCGTTTCATCCTGGGCCTCTGAGGGCAGCTAAGCTCAAGACCTGTTTGCTCAATGGCGAGCCAAGACTCTCGGGGGGCGGACAGATGAAGGCGGCGGAAGGCTGGCGGGAGGCCAGCGGAAGCCGTTAGGCTCGAGCCGCCCTCCTTTTGGAGGGCGCGCAGAGGCAGGGCTGGGGTTTGCTCGCCGTTGTCGGGCTTTGGGATAGGCATAGTGCCCATACCAGCGCCGTCCACACGGTAGTTTTTAGAGCCCCACGCAAGCCTCGAGGCCTCCTAGATGCGGTCGGAGGATCGCGCCGCATCGGCGATGTATCGGCGATGCACCGGCGATGCATCGGCGATGTCGGCGACGCATCGGCGACGTCGGCGACGCATCGGCGACGTCGGCGTGGAGAACATTGGGCCCAACATCGAGCCGCATCGCCGATGCATCGCCGATGCATCGCCGATGCATCGCCGATGCGGCGCGATCCTCCGACCCGTCATACTCCGACCCCCTCTGGGAGGACCTAGAAAAGACCTCCTGCGCCGAATGATCACTGGAGGCAGTGCGCGTCG